TATATATATATATATAATATATATATATATATATATATTTGTGAGTACTTCTTGTCCTAATGTTACACATAAACTACAGTTTATTGTTATTACCTAATACAGTTCATATTATTAGTGATGTAGCTTGTGGCACCCTATGTGCCACACGCAACTTATGTATATTCAAACATTTATAACCTTGTGAGTTCACCACGTGTGTATTCTCTACCAACGGTGTGTAGTTCTCCAGGTCCGCCTTATCACACCACATCTGCCACCGACCTCAGACCGAGCTCATGGCAGTAGACCACATACGTGCGTTCTTAGTCTGACGTAGGCACTGTCCTATTGCATGCTTATACCCGCCCTTCTTGTCGCAAAGTGGCGAATGGTACATGAGCCAATCCTCATAGGGACTATTCGGACGATAACGCATTGGCGTTCTCGCATACGCCTTCCTTCGTGAGTTTCCCATTGTGCGGGTTCAAATCCGATTTTTTTTAGCCTAAAAACCCTTGTGGTGAGTGCCGTCTGCCATCTCCACCACAATAGTGAGTGGAGCCTGTACCGACACCACCTTTGTAGAGTATGGGGAGTAGCTGAAAGGTACGCGAAAATAGGATATAATAGACCTCTTTTCAAGTACGCTTATCTCGGCTAGGAACAACTTGGTTATATGCCTCCTCCTCAGCGCCGGTATGTCTTTAGCACTTTGGGAAGACGCCAAGGTCTAGGCCGACACAATACGCAATCAAACTCTTCCCAAGTCCTCCAAGCTCCTATACCCTCAACGAATCTGGCACAAGAAAGGGTCACTTTTCTTTCCCCACGTCCGATTCGGCTGTGTTGTCACCTATAAAGTTCACAAAACTGACCCTCGATATTCTCGCAAGCACAAATACGCTCCACAATGTGGACTTGGGGTTGTCCCTGGGCGTACGTTAAATGGTACAGAGTATACGTTTCGCATACAGAGCTTCACTATCCAGCATCAACTCCACAGCCGAAACGTCAAATTCTTCCCCACCTCAACGCTCAATGGTCAGCAAACGGTCTCTACACCACCCAATCTGACACACCATCCACATATAAAATCCCGCCTAACTGGGCTACAGCCGCATTCCACACCACTGTCGAGATTCCCTATGTTCCCTCTACCCCACCCCCAGGCACACCGTACCCCGACCCCAGGCACACCGTACCCCCACCCCGCCCCAACGGCCCCCACACTTCCCCGACCTCTCAGATCACTCCCGAAATTCCTCCGTGCCCCAGCCCTGTCCCTCTATCCAACGACCATGAGGTCCCCCCCCGTCGCTTCTCCTATCCAGCTACCACCTCGAGACATTCCCACCTCTTCCTCTGCCCCTATACCACCTCCACTCAGCCCCTATACCACCTCCACTCAGCCCCTATACCACCTCCACTCAGCCCTATCCCCATCCCCACCATCTCTCCTGCACCCAGCCCTGTACCCATTCCCACCATTTCTCCTGCACCCTCCCATATACCTTTCCCACTCCAACTCTCCACAACGATGATTTCACCTATACCACCACCTCCTTCTCCCGTTCCCCTCAATGGCTACTGGAGTGACTTCGGCCACGGTCCGACTAGCGCTTCCCCTCCTATTTCGAAATCTCTTGGTTTCGGCCCTGATGCTGATTTCTCGGATTCTGAGACTACCCCATTAACCGCACAAGTCGCACACATCCTTACTCTGCCTTCTCAACCCTCCGCCCATCCACCTCCTATACAATTTCCTCCACTGTCGGCGATCTACCGACTGACATCGCTCGCCTCCGCTCGATCCAGACTCGCTTCCTCCCTGACGACTCTCCCACTCAACACCATCTCCACCAGATGATACGCTCCCAGGAACTACGACTTGCACACATACGTTCTCTCGCCCCTACAACGCACCCGGCCCCACCCGTTTCACGACGCAGTCGCACTTCTTGATGACTCGGTATCCAAGAGTATTGCTAATCCGCACGATCCCACTGGCTCGCAGCTATTGACCGTGAATGTGCCGCACACGCTCGCAACCAGCTGGCCGACATCATCCCTACCACCGACGTACCACCATCCGCCAGAGTTATACATTCTAAATATGAATTTGCCCGTCCGCAAGAACGACGAAAACGGTGATCTGACAGTTCATAAAGCTAGGATGATAGCACGTGGTGATGAGCAGCTCCACGGCGACTCGTATTGGCCACACATATGTCCCCATAGCTTCCGCTACATCAATCCGAATCTTCTGCGCCTCCACCGCTTTTCATAATAAGGAGCTACACCACTTCGATGTCAATACCGAGTATTTGTATTTTAAATTCGATACGCCTGTGTACATGCTACCCCCCAAAGGCAGTGTAGAGCTCAGGCATTATCTGCCCAACACAGTACTGAAGTTACGCTGTGGCCTTTAGGTTTAAAACAGGCCGGCAGGCTCTGGAACCAGGATATTGGCAAGACATTCACATCCCTCGGTTTCAATCAGAGTCCCAAGGACGAGAATACCTGGGACCATTCCTGATTCCTGCCGTGACATTAGCTTACTGCTGTACGTTGACGGGATTGCTCCTGCCATCACTCGTGGCACTAACGATGCCCTATGACTGGTTTACGAACTTAGTCCTACTTATAGTCTGAAGAACTTAGGACTTGCCCGCTTCCTTGTTGGATTCCGTGTCCTACACCTCCCCAACGGATGCACTTTTCTTATGCAAGATACTTATATCGACCGAATGGTTACAGCCTTCCATGCACTTGATGCCCCACTGAAAAACACCCATGGTTCCACCATACACATACGTTGAACCTTTATTCTATGGTAAATATAGACGTCTCCTGGGTGCCTTCGGATTCACAGCAAACATGACAAGGCCTGACATCGCCTGTGCCCCCCTCAACCATCTCGCCACGTTTAGCGTTGGTCCGCTTGTATCCCACTACGACGCACTCTCGCGCATTCTTCACTATCTCAACACTACTAAATATTTATCCCTCACATATCGCCCCAGCCTTGACTCTCTCCAAATTAGCCAGCATCACCAGGCCTATGCCGACTCCGACTGGAGATCCTGTCCTCTCACCCGGAAGTCCCATATTGGTACTTTAATATGTCTCAACGGCACACCTGTTCACTGGCGCTCACAAAAGCAGATTAGCTCTACAGAGGTCGAGAATATATCGCGGCCTCGGAAACTACCCGTGACATCGCCTGGGTACGCAACATTATTAACGCACACGGCCATCTCACATCACACCCAACAAAACATGTCGCCCTTGGTACAGGCACGGCTAAAGGCCTCAAGCATGTCGATGTTCGTGCCCACTATATTCGTAACACGGGCATACCTATTCTTTGCATCCTCCGCTATGTATGCTGCTGATTATTATTTGCATCCGCTATTACACGATATCGTTGTGTACAATTATTGGAACACGCGCATGCTTTAGGTTACAATCTTGGCCATCCTTACTACTGATCAAGGCGCTCGAACCTTGAACCATACGGGCTATCATTCACTCTGTATCCCGTGTGGTGATTAATTTGCAATAAGCTTGTAACTCGTCTGGATCATCAAGAGTAGCAACCATCGTTTCAAGTATAAAGTTTTTCATATTCTGATTGATTTTCGACACCTGCGGCAGGGAACGATGATGTTTCCAAATTGGTGATCCACGTCCAGCCACAGCTGTCGGAGCGAATTTATATTCAAATAACCCTAATGTACTTCAAATAGCCCTAATATACTTTAGTGTCATAAAGTGTCAGCGATATGCAAGAAGGGATGATTTAAAGAAAGCTATGGCGGTCATGCCTGCACTATACGTTATCATGAACGCACCACTGGCCTTGAATATGGGGAACGCCTTAAACACAAAGACGACGACGCCGCCACCATCGCCCGCTTTTATACGTACATCGAACCCTTCGGTCGCCAACGCATCCGCATCATCATCCCTGACCGCGGCGGCAAATTCATTTCGGCCGAATTCAAACGTGTCAACCACCTTCAGTACGTCTAAATTGTATACAACGGAACGATAACTTGGCCAACCTCGGCGCCGGTGAACGTGGCCATCAGGCCAACACGAATACTGCCTCATTACTCAGTCTCAACAACCGCGCCACATGTGGGTCGAGGCCGTGTCTATGGCTGTATGACATTGTCCATCGACCACGGCAACAAATACAAACTCCGCAAACGCGACCTCCTTTCCCAACACCCCGACGAATACCGAATGATCAAAGTTGCTACAGGTCACATCATGACCTCCCGACATGCTACGTTCAACGAGGGCACTTTTGTCCCTCTGGTAGAGTCACCGGTCTAAATCCTGCCCAT